TATATATATATATATATATATATCCCTAGGAGCGACTGTGGACGTTTGAGATGAAGGGACGTTTACCTGTTGACCCGTCGAGGACACTTATCAGGTTTGATGTCCACTTCATAGTGGTACACATCCATTTTTGGGATTTCCACCTCAAAGTAGTTGGCGAGCAGCTTGATGGGTTTGCCGACGGTGCCCATGCCCGGCCTGCGGGGCGCCTGGAACACCTGCTGCAGGGGTGGGGGGTACGGCCCGATGGGCACTGCGGACGAGAGAGAGAGAGAGAGAGAGAGAGAGGGTTCATTAAGCTGATAGGAGGTTATAAGAGCGAGACACGCTGAAAGGAGGAGTTCAGGGGGAGTTTGGGGGATTATGGGACTAGAAAAATGGTGACAGGAGTGTGTATGGAAACGGCACAAAAGCAGGGGAAAGGAACAAAGCGGATGGTGACTAAAATGGGAAGGGGGTGGGAAGGCAAAAACTGAAAAATGAAAGTAGGGAGGATGGGGTTAAAAGTATACTTAAGAGTGGACTCACAAGTAGTGCTGCATGGAATCGACAGCCATTCGGACAATCATGATTCATTCAATATCAGAGCAAGCAGCACAGTTTATTTTCAACACTTTTCATACTCTGAGACTCCAAACAGAATCCAAATTCTGATGGTATGACAACAGTTCACATTAGATTAATACTATACTATCATAATATAGATATATATATATATATATGTGTGTGTGTGTGTGTGTGTGTGTGTGTGTGCGCGTGCGTGCGTGTGAATTTCAGATGGCACTTAGAGGCTTTTGCATCTGAACTCTTCATAAACCTTTTTTTTTTTTTTAGGATTTATTTAAATGCAGTTTATTTTCATAAAAATGACTGTAAAAGCCAGCATTTACATTTTGTCCACTGTTTTTGTCTCATTATGTCAATCTATTATTTTACAACAAACTGAAATATATATATATATATATATTAATGCAGTTTATTTTCAAAGATTGTTAAAGTCAGCACTGTTTGGCCACTGTTTCTCCATCAAATAATGTGTGGAATAATATAGTGGAAAATCTGCTGGAAGTTAAATAAAAAGTTTTTATTTTAATAATCATGTGATTTGTAACTTGATGGATTTGAACCAAAAGATTAGATCATTTAAAGGGGTGGTTCATTGCGATTTCACTTTTTTAACGTTAGTTAGTGTGTAATGTTGCTGTTTGAGCATAAACAATATCTGCAAAGGTATGAAGCTGAAAGTTCAATGCAAACGGAGATATCGTCTTTTAAAATTCTGGCAGTTTAATGCCTACAAAAACGGCTGGTAGGGACTACAACAAGTTACTTCCTGGGTTTGTGACATCACAAACCCTGATAAACCCCGCCCCCGGGAACATGCAGCAAAGGGGGCGAGGCCATGTTGTGCTGCTTTCGAGAAGAGGAAGAGAAAACTAGGGGTGCACGTAAAAATCTATTCATATATGAATCGCGATTCTGTCTTCTAACGATTCTAATGGATTCACAAGTTTCAAAATCAATGTTCTAAAGCAGCAATTCTTAATATTGTTCCTCACGTTCCCCTGCTCCTCTCTCTCTCTCTCTCATACAGCTCAGCTCCAGCAATGTGACAATTTTCACATAGCTATGAGAAGCGTTAAACATGGACGCGTGTGCAGTTGCCGTACTGTATTAAAGCTTTAATCAGGATAAAACTGTATATTAAAAGCTAACATAAGCAGTAGCATTTACAAATAACAGCGTATCTAAAAAATATAAGACAACAACAAACAAAAAACATAGGCTTACCATTAAAAGCCATGCTTGCACAGGTTCTGCACGATCCTCTTCAATAATATCCTCTGTGTCTCAATCGGGCTCAAACTGATAAGCCATATTAACGACACCTTGTTTACAATACAACTGAAGCACATGCCGCCGAGGTGAGCGGCAGGACGTTTAGACGCGCACTAGAGGCGGTTTAGCCAATCACAACACACTGGGCTAGCTAACCAATCAGAGCCCATCGCCTATTTCTGAGGGAGGGGCTTCATACAAGAAGGAAATGATCAGGGTGTTTCTCAGAGAAGGGACAGAGCGGTGTGGAACAAAGGTAAATTATGTGAAAAACAATGTGTTTTTTAAAAAACGAAGCATTAACACATGTTAGACTGCACCCCATAAACACAATCAAGCCTAGAAAAAAAACAGTGAACCACCCCTTTAAAACAAACACATGATGACATCAGTGTGAAACCTCAAAACTCATATTTTAAAACAGACCCTAAATTCTGACTGGATGACATTAATGAACTTCAGATTAATACTATAGTAATGTAGTAAGTTGCAATGTTGCTTGGCGACCATAAACTCCTTTTTACAAACTCATGTTTGAAGTTAGTTCTGCATCGTCTTGCATTGTTTGGGACGCGTCCTGCTCTGTATTTTCCCATCACTGCATGTGTCTTTGTCAATCTCACAAGTAAAAAACATAAATTAGTCCGACCACTGATTTACAGAAATATATACTACCGTTTAAATGTTTGGGTCAGTGAGACTTTTTAAAGAAATTAATACTTCAATTCAGTAAGGATGCATTAAATTGTTCAAAAGTGACTGTAAAGGCATGTATAATGTTAGAAAAAAATTATTTCTATTTGAAATAAAAGCTGTTCTTCTGAACTTTCTATTCACCAAAAATTGTGAAAAATAAGATGCATCCACAAAAAAAAAAAGATGTTTCCACAAAAATAAGAAGCAGCACTCACTGTTTTCAACATTGATAATAATCAGAAATGTTCCTTGAGCAGCAAATCAGAATATTAGAATGATTTCTGAAGATCATGTGACACTGAAGACTGGAGTAATGATGCTGAAAATACAGCTTTGATCACAGAAATAAATTACAGTTTAACATTGATTCACACAGAAAACAGTAATTTGAAATTGTAATAATATTTCACAATATTACTGTTTTTGCTGTGTTTTTAATCAAATAAATGCAGCCTTGGTGAGAACACACACCAGTCACCCACTAATATGAAGAGTCTGATCTGATCTCAGCAATATCAGATTTTAGCAGACTCAACAACACAAGTTGCTTTGTGTTTATTCAAGCTTGATAACAGCAAAACTCAACACAAACTCTCTTCACTGTAAAGTAGTTGATTCCTTCAGTGATGCTGAGTGATAAACAAAGCTCAGTGTAAATAATAAACATGTAGCTAGCTAACCATATAGAGTTAGGACAGCCAAATAAATAGACTTATCAGCATTTAAAATGGAAGAGAAAATCTGTTCCGTATGTGTTGTTGTTGATGTCAAAGGTCATGTGTCCAATCAAACTCTACTTTGTTTTCCCGGAAATGTATTTGTCACTTTGCTAGTCAATTTAGACAGATGTCAACGGCTGTGTGACAGACCCTCACCCTCAAAACAAACACACAAACAGTCACAGAAGACTTGAGATGAGGTTTGCTCAGACAACAGTGAATCACTGACTGCAAGAAATGATACGTTTAAAA